GTCACAAGCCTCGTCGCGTCCAGTCGTACATGAAGGTCAGGTTGGGCGGCAGGTAGTTGAGGTCCGTGAGCTGGTTGGCTTGAAATGCCCTAACGATAGTTGCTGCCTCTGGTGTCCAGCAAGCGGGTTGTGTACAATCTCTCGACTGTCGTCGGCAAGCCTTGGGGGATGTTGACGAGGTCGGTGTTTTTGAAAGTGCTAGTACAAGTATAGTTAGTCGAGCAGTTTGAATGCGGATGGAACCGACATGAATCGAAGCGATGGCGGCCAGTTGATGTTGTTGGTGATCTTGGGGTTCGACAAGAAGAACGTGCTACGGTCTAGTTAGTACGTTTGTCGATTAGACGCCACGTACAGGCCCTGGAGTGAGCTCCACTGCGCCGCTGCGATCGCACCGAGGTCGATTTTGGTAATGTTGGTGAGCGTCCTAAACTGCAATGTGAGGCCTTTGGATATGCTCTTGATAGCTTACAAGTTGGCCAGCGTCGGTGGCAGCTTCATCTTGGCGAGCGTGAGGCTCGACGAGTTGGCCACCGTGCTAGTTCACACGTGAATCCTACAACGTCCTGCATGCTCGTACGTACAGGCTGGGTTGGGTGTAGCCGCTGAGGTCGCCAATCGCGTTGCACCGCACGTAGCTGTTCCAGTCGGACTCGAACGAGTCGAAGACCTTGCAGTTGGGTCGGACGCCGCAGACTGGCACCGTCGTGCACGAGGCATCGGCGACCAAGATGGACGCGTTCTCGGACAAGGCCAAGTCGGCGTACGCGCAGCCAGCGAGCGCGCGCTCGACGGCCGCAAGGAGAAGCAGCAAGCGCATGGGCAATTTCAAAATGCAGCGTTGCGACCAAAACAGACTCACAACCCGGTGCAATCGTGTGATTGATGGTGATGGGTATTCCGACCCGCAAGCCATGGTACGGTGTTTCGACTATTCTTTGTACGTTTAGGATATTTCACGATTCGTGTTTGACAGCCGAATGTGCACACATTGTACAATGTAGTCCTAAAGTGCTCTCGACTGATGCCAACCCGTCACAGAATTTGCAGTGATCTCGGAGGATGAATTGGTATGCAAACTACAAGATGGCACGACCGTAACAAAGAAAGTCTTGGATGCGGGTTCAGTCGCGGTGGCCAGAGAACGCCGGCTGCCATCTCCTCATCGTGCATTGCGCGACTCCGATCCCAAGCGCAGAAATGCGCAATGAGCTGACGACACGCCGAGCGTCACCCCAGACGACACGGTGTTCGGTGTCGCCAACCAGTTGCAATTGCGCAACGAGAAGCGTATTCCGTGCTGCAAACCGCTCCCACGATGAATTGTGTAGTCGTGTGTTCAGTAGAGTAGCCAGAACTTGAACCTGGGATCACATTGCATTTTCGATGCCGGACCTGCCAAACGCACCTCGCGATGCCACGTCACTCAACTGGTTATACGGACATTGCCCACGAGCGGTGCTGGCAGGAAGGAATTGCTAATTCCGCTTTCTGTCGGCCGCCGACACGGCGCCGCTGCAGTGCCGAGCCCTGAAACATTGAGACATGATCGGAAAGCCGCGTGCAGGATACTGCTTGACGCTGAGGCTCCACAGAGCTGGTCGAGCCGCGGTGGGTTTCCTGTAACCACTAGTGGCCAGCAACAACGAAGACGCAATACACGGACTGGCTCATCCCAGACAATGTGTCGGTTGGAGCACTTGGTCGCTCGGTGCGCGGGACCAGTGTATCTGGGCTCCTTGGCGGCCATAGCAGATCCCACTGTTTTGCGTCGGGTTGTAAAAAGGTGATCGAAGACGTCCTTTCATTCCTCAAATGTGCGCCTGGTTCCCACTTGTACTTGGGCTTCTCGCCACGAAGCGAGCGCTGGGCGCCTGCCCGTACGCCGACCTCCGCTCGGACAGGTCCATCCTGGTAGCGGATGCTTTGTGCATCGAGACAAATGTGTGCAGCGTCAATTCCACCTGCACCGTCCTCGCCTCGTTCTCCTCCGACGCGAACAGCTACGTACGCTTCGGTGCCCTTGGCGACCTTGCCCGATACACGCCACCGAGCCTGTACTGCATTGTTGCTGACGCTCTCTCGCCGCTCATTTTGGTTTGAATTAGCTTGATCGCCAACTCGTCGACACCTCTTACGCTGCGCAAGATGCAGCTGCCCGCGACGCTCCTCTCTCTGTACGTCTTGTCGCGCGTTGACGGTAAAATCACACTCTTCGCATAGGACGTTTGACAACGTCGCAGCCATTGATATCGACGTTGTCCAAACCAAGCAGTGGCGCTCGCTCCTGCAACTGTACGAGTTGTGGTGGCACATGAGTCCTAAATGTCGATCTATGGTGTAGCGAGTTCTTGACGTCAAGCCCCACGATCACCAACAACATTCAATGGCCACCATCGCTGCAAAACATGTACCGTATTGTCATCTCTGGCGTCCCGTGCAAACGCGAGCCTAGTACATTTTACGATGTCGGCTTGAACGACATCCCAAAGAACCTGCCAGCGTCCGTCTCGTTCTTGTACGGTAATCAAGGACGTCATGCATCTCTCACCTTCTCGCACCGACTAGGTCGATGGCGGGAAGCAAGCTCGTCGACTTCAACCACCTTCCGCCCAATTTGACTCGCTTGTACGTCGACACTGCCGTGTGATTGCACTCAGTTTAACGTAGGAACCTCGACTCGAACCAGCTGCCATCTATCACCGACCGCGACTGGCGAGCGTTTACCTTTTTGTAGTTATTTCAACCAATGCAGCAGGCTAATGATATGATAGGCGTCTCTCGGGCAACAAGCAACTAACGTCACTTGCGCGCGTCCAGCTCTCGACCAAAATCGAGTATTTGTACGTCTAGCGCCCGAGGTTGTGGAGAACATTGTCGTATCTAGCGACATTGCCAATTGCCCGCTCTTGACCAACATGACGATCGATGCGAGCACGTTTGCGGCGCTTGACGTGCTCCCGTATGCCGGTGACGCCGACAGCGATCTCCTCTACCGAGGCTTTGTCGTGAATCATGACGTCTTGACTAATGCCGCCAACTGCTCGGCCTTGAACGGCACGATCCAGCGCCTCTGGAAGTCGACGACCAAGTACATGGTCAACGTCTGCGTGCTGTCGGGCGCCCCAACGACAACGAGCCCTCCCGTTGCCACGTCATCAAGTGGGACCTTGCAAGGATATCAACGCGTACTAAGTTCTGAGAGTCTAGGCACAGGCCTTGTCATCGGTGTCGTCGTCGGCGTCCTCATTCTTCTCGGCGCCATGGCGGCGTTTGTCGTCGTCAAGCGTCGCAGAATCTCGCCCCCGCCCCTCGCTCCCATCTACAAGCACTCTGAGAGCGACGGCACCCAGAGCGTCGATGCGACCACGGACGGTCGCAGTGTCAGCCTCAAGACCATTGGCACCAACGGCACGGGTGAGCCCACGAGTAGTACCACCGGCACACGCCGACCCATCATCAACCCCGACGTCGACGTCATCTTGGATGTCAAGCCGCTCCTCCACCACCGACTAGAGCTCTCGGAACTCATTGTCACGTCCAACAAACCGCTGGCGTCTGGTGCGTTTGGCGAAGTCTGGCTCGGCACGTACGGCGGCAAGCAAGTCGCGGTCAAGCGCATGAAGAACCAAGACGCACGCATGGCCCAGAAGTTCATCGAAGAAATCGTCCTCATGTCCCAGTACGTTCACATATCTACTGATGACGAATTGAAGGACTAACGACAATCTGTACATGTTAGGATGAGCAGCGACTACATTGTCAAGTTTGTCGGTGCCAGCTGGACCCGCCCGATCGAGATCGAGTGCGTCGTCGAGTTCATGGACCTCGGCGACTTGAGGTCGTACCTCGTGAGCCAGTCGCCAGCGCAGTTCAGCTGGGACCAAAAGCTCAACTGCATCACCAGCATCGTCCGCGCCTTGGTCTACCTGCATACGTACAATCCGCCGATCATCCACCGCGATCTCAAGTCTCGCAACGTCCTCCTCGACTCGGTCAAGGGCACCAAGCTCACCGACTTTGGCGAGTCGCGCGTCGCCGAAGAAGACGATCTCATGACCAACGGCATTGGCACGTACCTGTGGATGGCGCCGGAAGTGATCTCGGGGACCCACTATGGCGCGCCGGCCGACATTTACTCGTTTGGTATCATCTTGTCCGAGTTTGCGACGCACCGAGTCCCTTATGCGGACCTGGGCCACCCGACGACGGGCAAAGCCTTACCCCAGCATTATGTGCTTCAAGAAGTGCGCGAAGGTCGTCTCCAGCCGACGCTGGACGGGCCGAGCGTGCCGTCGTGGGTGTCGGACATGGCCAAGAAGTGCCTCCAGCTTGTTGAGAAAGCCCGTCCGACATCTCTCGAGCTCGCGTCGATGCTCGACAAGTGCCGCGTCTAAGCACTAAACGTGTATTTTCCAAAATTATCAATTTGTCAATCGAACGACATGTTGCACCATGCTTGTGTGCTGAAGCTCTACACTGAAAAGTTTGAGATTTGCCAAAGTTAATTCTTTGTCGGGAAACCGCGCAGACAATTAGGACACACCATTTTGGCACCATACCCACAATTTCGAGCGACCTCGGTTCGAGGAAGAGGGGTAGGGATGGATCAGCATGGCGATCGGCTTGCAAATTAAAGTCGATTTCAGAGATTGCGAGCTTTCGATGGGATGACATAGCTGTCGTGTCGTCCGTAGCACTCTCCTCCACGCAACAACATATACCTAGCTCTTGTGCCACTCGTATAATCCGACGCCAAGGGACATTCATATCTCGTGGATACTGCATCGTTGTATCCTCCGCTGTCTCGACTGACATGAGTCCGTAATGCTTGCATCACAACGATATGCATTATGTAGTGTACGTAGTACGTTGCGGCTACCGCTTAGACATGACACTTGCTGAGCATCGACGCGAGCATGAGCGACGTCGGACGATCCTCTTCGTGCAGCTGAAGACACTCTTTCGCAATATCCTGGACCCACGACGGTACGTTCGGCCCGTCCAGCGTCGGCTGGAGACGACCTTCGCGCACTTCTTGAAGCACATAATGCTGGGGTAAGGCTTTGCCCGTCGTCGGGTGGCGCTTGTCGGCGTACGGTACTTGGTGCGTGCAAAATTCCGAGAGAATGATGCCGAACGAGAAGATGTCGGCCGGCGCGCCATAGTTGGTCGCAGAGATCACCTCAGGTGCCATCCACTGGTATGTGCCAATGCCGTTGGTCATGAGATCGTCTTCTTCGGCGACGCGCGACTCGCCAAAGTCGGTGAGCTTGGTGCCCTTGACCGAGTCCAACAGGACGTTCCGAGACTTCATGTCGCGGTGGATGATCGGCGGATTGTACGTGTGCAGGTAGACCAAGGCGCGGACGATGCTGATGATGCAGTTGAGCTTTTGGTCCCAGCTGAACTGCGCTGGCGACTGGTTCACGAGGTACGTGCTCAGGTCGCCGAGGTCCATGAACTCGACGACGCACTCGATCTCGATCGGGCGGGTCCAGCTGGCACCGACAAACTTGACAATGTAGTCGCTGTTCATTCTACCATGTACGGAGTGGAATGAGACTTATATTCTTGAGGTAAGAGAAAATGTAGTCGTACTGGGACATGAGGACGATTTCCTCAATAAACTTTTGGGCCATCCGCGCCCCGTGGTTCTTCATGCGCTTGATTGCGACTTGCTTGCCGCCGTACGTGCCGAGCCAGACTTCGCCAAACGCACCGGACGCCAGCGGTGTGTCCGTCGTCACTTGCAACTCTGAGAGCTCCAATCGGTGGTGAAGAAGCGGCTTGACGTCCAAGACGACGTCCAGATCCGTGTTGACGAGCGACCGGCGCGTGCCTGTGGTACCGGCCGTGCGTCCGCCCGTGCCGTTGGTCTTGGTGCCATTCGTGCCGACGGTGCGGCCTGCTGTGATCATACCGGTACTGAAGCCGTCGGGGTTCGAAGGCTCGTAGCGGTGATAGTCTGAGGAGTGTTGTTGCTTGGTCTTGCGGCGCTTGATGATGACGCAGGCGATGATGGCGCCGATGAGGACGACACTGCCGACGGCTACTCCGATGATCAAGCCCAAGTCTACGACAGTCGTCAGAGAATACGTAGTCAGCAAGGTCCTACTCGACGACGACGGGCTTGGGCTTGTAGAGGCGGAAGACAAGACGCAGACGTTGACCGTGTACTTGGACGTGGTCTGCCAGAGGCGCTTGATCTCGCCGCCAATGGCCGCACAGGCGGTGGCGCTCGTCAAGATAGCTTGGTTGACGGCGTACCCCTCGTAGACATTTGTTTCGTCAGCATCCGGCGCGGGTCGAAGCGCGTCAAGCGTCGCAAACGTGGCAGCATCGGTCGTAATGTTGTTTAATTTGGAGCAATTGGCAATATCGCTACAGACCATCAGTATCGAGATACGGTGACTCGATGATTCGCGTACAAATATTCGAGCTTGGTCGACAACTGGACATGCGCAATCGATTGCAGGTCCGAGTTGTTTGTGAGACGCCTACGAAAGGATATTTTAAGTATAGGGATCGGTCAACGTGTACTAGGCACAACAGGAAGGTGAGCGCCCGCCAGTCCTTGTATGTGATCGAGACAAAGTTGTTGAGGGCGACGTTGCTACGAAGCCGTGAGTTCAGTGGAGGCCTTGGTACTCGTAATGTACAGGAGCGTCACGCTGATCGGAAGCTCTTGGAGGTCGGTGAGGTTGCTCCCCTGCATGAGCCTATCCACGGAATTTGGCTCCAAGGCCATCCTACGTCGGGACGCACAGTGTTTTGAGAGTTAACGGCAGGTTCTTGGGAATTTTGTAGGCATTGGCGAACGCCAATATCCTGTGATCGACAAGGGTCCGATTCGATCAAGGCCGGTAGGTGTACGTACAGAGTGTTGAGCGACCGCGGCCAGTTGACAAAATTGCCGAGCACGGGCGACGCGTGGTGAAATACGCTGCATAATCATTTTCGAAGGCAAAAACCCACAATGGAACGTACAGCTCCTGGACCGAGCTCCACTGCGACTCTTGGATTTCGTTGACGTCACCAAGTGTCTGCACACGGTAGAAAGACCTACATGCCGTTAAGTACGTCCAAAGCGATATGGTGTGTACGTACAAGCTCGTCAGCGTTGGAGGCAGCTTCATCAAACTGAGCTTGACGGCCCGCGAGTCAGTGATCGTTCTACATCACGCGTGAGCCATGGAAACGACGAGAATCGTGTCGTACAGATTGAAATTGACGTAGCGACTCATGTTGCCAATGGCGTCGACCGAAGCAAAATCATAGATGCTCGATGGATACCCCGTATCGACCATGCACGAGGAATCGACTTTGCAGGTCCGGAACTTGGTTGTGTCGCAAAATGCGTCCGCGGCCAAAATGATCGCATCGCTGAAGTCGCTGGTCGGCTGGACGCCTGCGTACGGGCAGGCACCCAGTGCGATGCCAGCCAAAAGTAGCAGCAGAAGAAGTGCGTCGATGCGAGGCATTTCCGAATTGACTTGCGATTGGCGTCCGACCGACAGGTGACAATCCTGTGCGAAATCCAGCTGATTCACTTTTTCGAAACCGCTTGATATCGCACACGATTGTCAATCGTCCGTCCGTGAGGTCAGTTGGGCTACTTGAGACTCGTTGGCTCATTGTAAATGGCTTTGGAGTACCCGTGGAATCCACAGCTATATGTTACGCGGAATCGACTGGTGTAGCTGCTGTCGACTGAGATGCTGTACTTCTTGTGAAAATTACAATTGGCGGCGTCCAAAAGCCGTCGAGGTAGGAGAATTCGCCGACTGTGCGGCCTATCAAAGCCCTCTTGCCTGCCTCCGACGTTCCAAAGCTCTTGCCTTATTCGATCTTTCGATCACCCAATGAGACCCCTTTGACCCAGTATCCCCTTCTGAGCATGGCACCCACTGGGCTAGCTCGCTGGGCTGGGTGCGTTTAGAATTGGCATGCGCAGGATGGTGGCATCTGCCTAAAATAATAAAATAATATGGAGTTGGGCGCTTGACGGTCTTCTCAACTTTCTGAAGGCCTATCGCTACCGGGGCGACAGGAGCAGCCGTCGCCACTTCTGCCAAGCGAGAGCGAAGTAGTTTCCTTTCTATTGGGCGAAAGCAAAGCTTCGTTCTCGCCACCCGAAACATAGTAGCCGACAACCACGCACGAGCTGAATCCGCAGACAGCGCAAGTACCGCAAGCGGTAAAAGACCGAGCGCGTGTATTTCTAGCAACAAGTACGCGGTGTTCGGTGGTACGCAGACATCAAGGGCACTACAATGTGTTTGAGCTAATTCGCAATTTCGACCAATCTCGGTTTGAAGACAAGGGTTAGGTATCGCACTTGAAAGGGAATAATGTGTGTGATACTTCGCCATGAAGGTGCGATAGCTATCGCTAGAAGACTTGCTAGAAGAAGAGCTGATTGGACAATGACTCGATTGACCTGAGCTCAACCTAGCTGCTAGACACGCGCACTAGCGACTAACACAGACAAGGACCTATAAACTCTAATCGTCATTCAAGGTCCCACTAGGTATGCAACGAACAAACCGACAAATTGCGGTGAGGGTTCACGACCACTAAATCGGAAGGGCGTTATTTGTCGTGTCATAAATGTTCAGCGAGCTGCACGTTGCTAGCTATCCCTATGCTACTTGTAGAATACGACCACAATATGTCGTAAATGTCAAAAACTACATCAGTACCGACTTACTTGGTACTATGCCGTGTTGACGCACTAGAATCCGTTGAAATGCAGTTTTTTGCTCTTTAATCACAAACATATCTAATATACAAAACGTTGGGGCCACTGCTTAGACATGGCACTTGCTGAGCATCGACGCGAGCATGAGCGACGTCGGACGATCCTCTTCGTGCAGCTGAAGACACTCTTTCGCAATATCCTGGACCCACGACGG